CGCCGGGCTTGAGGGGCACCCGAAATGGCCTCTGACGGGGGCTGCCTAGTAAATCAACTGAATCGCTCATAAAAAGTCGCGCAGTTGTCTTGACTGCTGTTGTTGTTGTTTATTTTTTGTGCTTTTCTTGCTGTATTTTATTTTTAATTGTTTAAGCAACAATGGGTGCTAAAGAAGCAAAATAAATAATAATAAAACGCATACAAAATAAAGTAAGTTTTAATTTTGAATTTGTTTGTATCATTTCCTGGGCACTTTCAACTTTTCTAAAAAAAAAAAAAAGATACAAAACACAATGTGTTAAAATCCAATAAAAATAATACGATTTTATTGTGCAATTAAAAAATTGAATTATGCACAGATAATTACAAACAAATTTAAATTACGGTGAAGGCGCATCAACTTTTATTTATTTTATGCATTTTTAATTACAAACCAGAACGGAACAGAAGAAAGAACTCTGTGAAAGTTTCCCGAATTCGTCTCCTGTAAACTCGAAAATTAAGATTAGCCTACAGCAGATTGTCTAATTTGTTGCAACAGTAAAGTGTAGCATATTTAGAGGCTGTCATAGGATGTGTTCTTGGAATCGATTCACAGATTTATAAATTCACAACATAAATTTATAAAACTCCTTAATAAGTTCAAGTATAGTTTTGTCTATATAAAACTAAATTAAATACAGTAAATGACTCAAATTTGGAATCTGATCAACCAAAATTTCCACGAAGATATAAATGCTCTAACCCCCAATATATATTTTTTGTGGAACTTTTTACTGGTTAAACAAATATAAGTTGCTTCAAAATTTTTTGCACATTTTTACTTTGAAAAAGAAGATTTTGAAATTTGTGTTTATCATAAATTGAACATTCAAAGAAGAAAGCCGTTTCATACTAATTCCCATCGGTGCAAACTTTAAACATTAAATTTCAAGTAAAATTTAGTTCTTTTGATGTATTTTAACTTAGAATGCAAATTCGCAACAAAAAAATTCAGTAACGTAAGCGTAAACATTTTATGCAGTTGAGAAGTACCCATAGCTAATTTTGAAATGCTCTGACATTTTATAATGATCTAAATATCATTTACTTTTACCCTAATCTTAAGTTTAAATATTTTTACTGGGTGTATATAATCATCAGGCGAGCACATTGATCTTCTGTAATTTAATACGATGAATTATTTCATATAATATATATATATATATATAAATATGGGTATACATATATACTGCTGTTAATGGCATTTGTCACAGTGCTTTTCCAGAAGAAGTAGGGCAACTCAAACGCGATTTACTTCGCACTTGACTATTTTCCAATTACGTTAATTGCTCATAACATGACTTTTTTGTTGTAGTGTTGTTTTTGTTCTTCTTCGGTTTTGAGGAGCTGTGTGGCACAATACATAATCATTTCCCCGAACACAAACAGCACACACAAATACACGCTCACAAAAAAACAAACACACTCAAACACATACACACACACACACAGACAGCAAAACAGACAAGTGAGGAACAGATCTCCGTCATGGATCTATGCGGATTGCTTGTGGCTTATTTTAGCTGACTTTAAGTTTATGAAGAATTACGAGGAAGGCACTTAAACGAATTGTTGCTGCGTATGCTGCGTGTCTGGTCCATAAAACTTTTATGACCCATTGATAGTGCGAACAAATCTACTGAGTCCCCACGTCCCACTTCCCACTTCCCACTCGCCACTCTCCACGCCTTTCATTTGGCAGTCCACCTTGTTGGAGAAGGTGAAGCAAGTTTGACAGTTGGTTTTGAATTTGATTGAAGCCAAGTGCAATTGTTGGCCCGATCTTTTGTATGAGTACATTGTTTATGGCATTTCGCAAGCAGCGTTTGGCATCCATTAATCATGACCAGAAATTGCGCTGCTATGTCCAATGGATTTTTATTGTTTTTTAAGCAACCAACAAGACCGGCAGCAAGAGGCAGTATTTTCATCTCATTTCTTATTTCCAGGTTCGTCAGTGTCTATTTTCATTTAATAGACATATTTGCCTGCCTCGAAAACTTTTCCGCTTTGTTTATTTGTTGAATCAGCGCCGTCAAACCCATAACAACAACAGCACAGTACAAATCCAAATCCAAATCCAAATCTACATCTACATCCCACATCCACGTCAGTGTTGGTAATGTGTTAACAGAGTACATAAGTCGAGAGCTGAGCGCCTGAGACTTGTGCGCAAACATTTTGACAACTTGTGAATTTTAGAACGCCAGCTATATCAAAAAAAAAGAAAAAAGAAAAGAAATAAACTGTGACTATCCACCCTCATACGCACAGTGGTACAACAGCAGCCTCATAAACCATAAATACCACACACTAAATAAAAATAAGAAGCAACAACAACAATAACATCACCGATCACAAAATGATGCCCAAATATTTTAGCCACTCACAGAATTCAACGAAAAATAACATTGAAATGTTCTATAAACAAACAAAACCAGAAAAAAGCGCCAAGCAACGATTAGCCCATATACGTAATGCTGGAGAGCAGGAAAGCTGGAGTACTCATACAGCTAATCGAGATCGGCTGTAAGTGGGTTGCTATAACAGTTCCGAAATATCTTATTTAATGAATTATTAACAGTACTTCAAATTAATTGACTGATTATCTTGAGAGACTGCCGAAGGGTCATATACAAAAATGTACTTGATGCGACAATTTAACTTTGGGTTAGGCTATCAAAAAAAGTGTTCACTAAATGTTCATTATGATAATGACACTATATTTTAAGTTTTAAAAGAAAAGTATAGGATTGTTTTATTATCTGTAAGGCCTGCTCGGAACTCTATTTAATTTTGTAAACTCTGCGATACAAAGAAAAGAGTATACAAACTTCGTTCTCTCCCCAAAAAGTTATTAGCCCAGTCACATGTTGAGTTTGGCGTTCGGATGCAAGCATGCGGAAGCGGGGGCGGGTGGGCGTTTGTTTTGTAGCCGAGGCGCCGTCCGAGCGACCGTCGGCAGCACGAGATTAACACGCCATGCTCTAAATTCTGCTGACTGTTGACTAAGCTTTTGGTAGCAAATGATGCTTCTGCTGCTGTTGACGCTGACGTAGACGCTGGAGCTCGACCAAGCTCTGTGAAATGAAATCTGTTTTATTGTATTTGAGAATGATTAGCCGTCCAGATACGAAGACGAGGCGTTATTATGCGAACGTGTGTGCCCAGCTGAAGATGGAGATCTGAACCTCTCGAAATGGACTCAGTATGCAAAGCGATGAAACAACTCTGCTGTGAAACTCTTTAACTGTACGTATGGTATACAAAGTGGCACAGTTTTACGAGCCTGTGACTTTTGGGTCGACTGTTTCTTACCTGCCCGCTCGCCGTGGCCTAGCCCAACAACGAGACCAGCAGCAGCAGCAGCAGCAGCAGCGGCAACAGCCGACGACGATGGGCAGAGACAATGTCGCTAACCTTTTTTGGGGTTTTATCGCCCGGGCTAAGAACCACATAAAAACACAACACAGATGACAAGTTTGTCGCGTGTAAACAATTTGCGGCAGCCCCAAAAAAGGCGGTGCGGGTGGTACCTCTACCAAGAGAGAATGGGAGAGCGAGAGAAAGAGAGTGGAGAGCAGGACGCAGGTGGGGAACGTTCCGATATCAGTAAGACGGATATGAAGAGAAGCAATGCCTTTGCTAGGTAGGAGGCGTAGGAGTTAACAGTGTCGACTAATATTATATGAACCGAGTGTAGAGCAAATCAAATGCTGAAGTAGATACCTATCAAGAAAATCGAGTATATTGATTTTAGAAAATAATGTGATTAAAATATGTAAAAAAAAAAAATCAAATAAAGGATTAACGAAGAAACCAATTTGTACATAATAAAAAAGACTCTAAGTTTAGTCACTTAAAAACATGCAGAAATATCGTTTAGATGGATTTCATAGATAAGTTTTGTAAAAAAAAACGATGATTTCCTTATCAATACGAGTTAAGCTAATAAAAAATGTATGAAACTTTACTTAGTCACGCACATTTGCACTTGGTACACATATAATTAACGACAACTGTATGCTCTGTGGGCAGAACACACAGCCAAACGCACGACATTCACATGTCTACAGATACATTAGAAAATATCTCAAAAAATCAACAAAATAACAGCGACGTTGACGTCGACGTCGACGGCAACAGCGACAGCTACTGCGAACAGAGACGACGCTCCGTTCGTGTTATTTTTGTTGTTGTTTTCGTTGAGCGCACAAAAAGCACATGAGTGAAATACATTTTCACGCTTCTAAACAGAGCAGCAATAAGAACAAGAGCAACAGCAGCAGCAACAGCAGAAGAGACTTTTTGACTACGACAACAACAAGCACAACAATAACAACAACAAGAACCATTCATCGCCTACTATTGCCCACAACAGAATTTGTGCCGGCATTTGTGCTCCCGATGCCAAACGCAGACGCAGATCAGTCAAGAGTCAGCGCAGAGCCAGCGGCGATCGCAGTCGCATTCGTAGTCCGGACGGAGACGTAGACGTAAACGGAAGAAGACGACTGGCGGAGACGATGCCGTAGAATTGCGAAGCGTTTTTCGCCAAACATAAAACACGAAAAGTGTGCGCCACTATTTTCGAATCCCGCAGAGCGTCGCGAGCTGTGGCCGGCAACGGAACAGAGCGAGAGACTTTCAACAGATCAGTCCAAAATAAAAAATAAAAAAATTCAAAGCAGCAAAATAAGCAACACCAAAGTGAAACACAACACACAAGCAACATCAACAACAACAACAACAACAGCCACAGCCACAGCAACAACCAGAAGAAGAACAGCAACAAGCGCGAGTGTGTGTTTCAAGTTCGTTCAACGTCGCGAGTTTTACTTTTGTGCATTTTTTTTAGGTCGGGTTCCCAGGGCCGAAGAGCATGGGAAAAACAGGCTAAGGATACGCCAAAAAGGCAAAAAATCAGGCAGAACAAGAACAACAAGAACAACAACAACAGCAACAGCAACAAAAATACAAAACGAAAAACTGCAAACTGAAACTGGAAGCTGGAAGCTGGCTGAGCTTCATCTTTTAGCCAGAGACTGCGCTTTGATTAAAGCGCGCGTTTAATTTCATTTTTTACGCTACTCCACGAAGAAGAAGTTCTGCAACCCTCTTCCCTCTACTGTCCCCCTCAATTCAGCGTCTCGACGCACTACCAGCTCGGTTTTTAGCGCGACTCCACCCTTCCAACTATTTTTCAACATTTTGCGCTTTGATTCGCTGTTCACATTTTGGGACCTGGCCAACTGGCCAACTAGCTGACTGGCTGACTGGCTGCTTTTGGCCTGGACCCAACTCCTGCGCTGGCTGGCTCCTTGGGCGCTGCTCAGTACGCCGGCAGCTTTCTCCGTGTGCGTACCACTCAACGCAGCCGTTGTGCTTAAAGAAAAAACAACGAATTAAAAGTAACAAAGCAAAAATTATATAAAATAAAACATAAAAGTGAAAGAATCCGTGAGATCAGGCGGCGCATCATCATCATCATCATCATGATTATTATCTCCTTGTGATTTTGTGATCGTTGATCCGTCTGCGCGATGCGTCTGTTGTCGCCTGTACTCATCGTATTCATCAAGTGCGCTTGTCTCTCACCTCCAGCTTCACTTTAAAGCTAACTTCACGCCACGTCGAACTGAAAGTATCTTAACGTTTGCCGCTTGATTAATTCGCTCGTCACAAAAAACTGAAACTTAATTTTTTGTTGTGCTGTTTTGTTTTGCGTAATATTCAAATAAGCACTCGCACTCGTACTCGTACTCGTACTCGCACTCATCGTGGCCGCAATAAAAAAGCCTTTAACTACCTGCCCAAATACTGAAATAACTGCAGCAGCAACAACAACTACTACAGCTTGTATATAAACCAACAAAAGCATTCGAGACTGGGCCACATTTGTTTGTTGCCGCTGTTGCGGCTTCGGAGCGATATGCGGTTATTCATGGTAATTGCAATTTTAATATTTGCAATGCCAATGACGGGATTCGGTTGGTAAGTTCATCATTTACATTTTAAAGTACACAGCAGCAGCTAATATTTTTAATTTATGTGATCAGAACATCATGAAATTGAAAACTACCACTACTTATAATAATTACACTTATTGATCATTTAAGATCAGTTAAACGTGCTTTCGTTTATTATTGTAATCAGACAAATTGGAGTCTAGGCAAGCGAAAATTTATTTATGTAGAAAAGTATAGATTATACTAAGTATATACTTAAGGTGTTATGGCATTTATAGCCCAAGTTAGATAACACAACTGGAACTCGGATCTGAAACAGTAATCTTCAGTTGTTTTCATAGCTCTCTAACGTAGAGCACCTAACTAATTTACTTCGAAATGAGAATAAAATACTTTTCATTCAGAGTTTAATTCCATTATAGATTTTTTTGCTTAAAAAGTTATTCACAAAATATTGCAAACTAATGAGAATCATTGTCATCTGATCATTTTTTTTACAAGCATTTTACAATATTTTATTATATTACATCGACTATTTACATCAAAAACATAATTAACTAGATTGTTCGACTTCAGATCAGCATAATTTACATAGAAATTTCCAAAGACAAACCCATTCAAGCAAAATATATGTTTTTATGCAGTGCGTCAAATTCAATGCCAAAAAACCCATTACAAACGCTACTCTTCAGTCTGTCAGATCTCATCAATATATGAGCTCGGGAGATTGGCGTAACCGTTTCCGGTTTCGACTATGGGTATGGGTAATATGGGTATGTGTATGCTTTTGCTGACGACAACAAAACAGAGGAAAAAGTGCAATAATTGGAAATTGCAAGCGACATGAGCTCTACACACTTTGAGGTGAGTCAAAGCCAAAGCCAAAGTGAAAATTCGGCCAGAGCCAATCGAGCGGACGATGTTGCCAGCGAGGGACCTTCAAAATGTGACGTTTGATTTAGATTTAATTACATGGCAATTTTTGTGGGGATGCAAAAAGTGGCCAACAACAACTAAGAGTGCCTAGTTCGAGACTGATCGACTGGGAGTTACCTCTTGCATATCACAACATCATATCATATCCAACTAATTTCGATATTAAAAAACACGTGTCGCAAACATTAAGGAAACAATATATTCGGAAACTTCAGGGTCGCAGAACCTACATCATATTAACTTTCACACATACTGTGAGTACAGGGTATTTGGGAAAATGCAATCAAAATAAATAAAATTAGAAGCCAAACAGTCTCTGTTCGGCCAAACGAATGACACTTCGAGCGGGCAGCTTTTGAATTTATGCGCGAAATTGCAGGCCAAGATAAATAAAAAGAAAACAACTAAATAAAGAGCATGATGGGTACAGACATCAAATAGAAAGAAAAGTGTCGCACAGGAAAGAAGCATAAGGGTGTCTGCCGGCGGGGCTGAGGAGGCCGTATGCCATAAGTTATGTACTTTGCCAAAAGTATTTGCCAGCAAAGTGGCATCAATGAATCTAAATCTGCAACTGCATCTGGGCATCAGAGGTAGAAAAATTGTCGCTGTCAACAGCAACGAAATCTGTAATGTCTCGACTTTTGGCGCAAGCATTTGTCATATGTATGCGGGTGGCGGGCCGGGCGGTGCATGTCGTTTATTGGGAGGCGTGGCAGATGGACTGGGTGGCGTAGGCGTCGCGTGGCGTAGACTGCATGACGATATGAGGCCCAAAAGTGATCGTTTTCATTAATTTTATTTGACTTGTGTGCAACTGGGCGCGGCAACAGCCACCACAGATGGAGGCCACCTGCAACATTAAAGAGTTCTCGCAACCCGGTGGCAGCGGGGATTGAACGATGGGAAGCTGTGTATTTTATCTATGGACAGTCGGCGGTAGCGAACACATTCAACTCAATTGAAAGCATTCGCAATAAATTCATTAAATAATTAGAGCTCAAGTTCAGTCAGGCTGACAGCGTTTGATGTCGCCCATGATGATAATGATGTTGTTGCCACAAAAAAGTCGAGAGCGTATTTGCGCCATTTTAACGCTTCATCTGTGCCGCTCAAGGGCGCCAGACAAAAGTGCAAAATGCGCTGCCATCAAGCGTACCGTGAAGACAAAAAGGCGGACAGACTGACAGTCGTAACCCCATTTTGGAAGAAGGAAGCTCAGCTATGGTGGAATGTGGGCGGAGTATAGTTGCAGCTGTTGAGAATTTTCCCCGCCTCAAAGCAAAAATATGTTAATTGAGTAAAAAAGAAAAGAATGAACTTGAACTACTAATTGTTCAAGGACATAGAACTATGCGAAGTAATAAGTGGTTAACTCATTTCAGAAATGTCAATAATGACTTACGCTAAATGATCGCGGTCTGAAGTTCGTTCAAATAATTTGCATAAGCCACATATGACCACAGACCATCAACTATTGCTTAATTAGTTTAACAATCATTGTTTACGTTCATCTATTGCGATTCGTATTGGAATCGTTTTCCTCGACTCCGTGTTTGTAAGCCGACAATCAACTCAGATACTGAGATGCATGTGTTATTTTCCAGCCAAATGCACTAAATCAAACGATCTTTGTGTGAGCTATTGAGATGATAATCAATGAGTTAAGCAGACATAGCACTCGATGTGCCGTTAAATGAATGGAAATTCCATTTGACCACAGCAGCCGAAAGCAATTACTGAGAACTTACAATAAATTGTTGCTGATCGAGCCACTCAAATACTGATGCTGATGCTGATGCTTTTGCTGGCGTATCTGAAATTTAATTAAAAACAGTGCAACGCGCAACGAGAGATGCACATGATGAAAATCTCGAATTTATGAGCTACTGCAGTTTGATTTCAAATTAAATGAGCTCATTTCCGTCGCTCGATTCGTTTGACATCTACATACGTCAAGTACTGGTTCAGTCTATTTTGGGGCCAGTTTCCCTCATTTCATTCAGTCGAAAGCTCATTCATTCCGAGGGTTCATTCGTAGCTAGTTTTTGGCACTCACAGCATGCGAAATGGCAATTAAAACCCGCTGGGGCATTAATGGGTTAAACAGCACTCGTAACACACATACACACACACACACACACACACACCAGAATCAGAGTCTGTGGCACTTAGTCTGAAGCAGTGTGTTGGCGGCTGCATTTGTTATTCCAACATCGTCGCTCTGGGAGGCAACATCAACAACATTGCGCATACGCCGCGTGCTCCGTGTCAGTAGAGCAAAGCCATCCAAAATTTGGCACACTTTAATATGAGATAAAACCACGTAGTATATAGTAGAATACATTGAACACCCCCAACATCATTAGGTAAGGCGTTGGCTAACGGCCGTACAACTCGGCCAATTGCCAAAATTTAATGTAGATGACTTGATTATGATTATGCCGTAAAAAGAGACTCGCAACTTGGGGGCAGCTTTCAGCACTTATCGACCAGCTGACACAGAGAGAGAGAGAGACAGAGAGAGATAAAGAAGGAGAGATGAGAGATCAGTGTAATATCGGGGCACTCTTTCAATAGTGGCTAGTTTCCCAAGTTGAGTGCTTGTTGCATTTGGCACGGGTTCTGTTTGAGGCGAGTTCTTCGGGTGGATTTTTAATTACAACTCATGCGATTTGTTTATTTTGTTAATTTGTCTCTGCGCCTCTCGTCACGTTGACAGATGCGTGCCTCGAACACTGCATCATAATTAAAACGCATGACCAGAGACAAAACCAAGGACAAAGACAAAGAGCATGACGACCAAACAGACATGGGTCAAGTTGAAGGAGTGACAACAAGAAAGGGTCCAAGGTAACTAGCAAATGTTCTTGTCATGCCATCAGAGGCCAAAAAACTGATGGGGCTGTCAGCTGAGATAATCTAAGCCAGTTCAGGGAACGTTAATAACAAGCGCTCCGTAGGAAAAATCTTAATATTAGACATAATTCGATACAATGGAATATCTCAAAGAGTATCTAAGTGCTTTAATTTCTCAACTGTTTTAAAAAACTAAAGTCTTAACGAGCATATCTCTTATTCATTACATTTATTAAATGTCACATAAATTTGTGGCATAGCGCACAGAGACACCAGATTTCTCACAGTTCAACCTTCAGCCCGCTGCAGCTGGATATGTGATTTAGCAAAGTTTCAGCCTGGACATGGTCATGGTGCGCGTCCATGTGGCAACGCCTATTTGAGCCATAATTAAGTTAAACGTTGTCGCAATTTGTGCGCGTCGGAGACCAAAAGATTGATGTCGTCTTTGTCTTGGTTTGAAAGTCGTGGATCCGCCAGATCCCCAGCTCTCCCTCTCTCGCTATCTGTCTCTCCCAGAGCTTATAGCTTATTAAACGAGCTGACAAAGGGCAGCCAAATAGTAAATATGCCTGAATTATTAGCTAGTCTCGCCTGCAATTGGACATGCACATGCCCGCAGAGCCTGGGAACGAACGCGACGCATTCCACCAGTGTCAACCAGGATGATCGTTAACCAAGCCAGTCTTTTTTTGTAAAAGGCGGCGCCTGTGCACAGTGGTACATGTTAATTTGCTAATTGTTCAATGACAAACACTTTGAGCAACAAAATAAAAATATGAGGTGCCAAAAGGCAGCGTGCGACGCTGACGCCCACCCACGTTTACAGCCACGCCCACCAGACCTGACCAGAGCAGTCTCTAACTCATTTTCAACACCACCATTTGGCTTTTGGCAGTAGCCGCTGACTGTGCTGGCTAATCAATTGTCAACGCCGCCGCCCACATCAAACGCCAGCGCTCCCGTTGCCAGCGGCTATAGTGCCCCCAATCCCTCTCCTCCACCAATCTGCTCTCCAGTCCAGCAGCTGCCTCTTTGTCCAGCTTGCAGCTTGTGTTCTTGTGTGTGCAGAAGAGATCAGCACTTGCGCTGACGCATTCTGTGTGGACAAATATTTGTGCGCGTAAATTGAAAACTGACCAGCCACAACAGCACTTGACTTGGCCACTGGCCAAACGCGGTCGAAAACGCGGCCCAAACGATCAGTTGGCCAACTGAGCGGCCATTCATTCACTTGTCAACGCTTTGTTTAAATACTTTGCCACTCGCATGTTGACAAGTGGTTTAAGTCGTTGATTTGTTTACACTGCAACGCACTCGGCGCTGTGCCACCTCAAACCCGAACACGGGGGGTACGGACGGACGGACAGACAGATAACACGGACAATCACCAGAGATGCCAACTAGCGACGACGAAGACGACGGCGACTCACGAAAATGAGTCAATCAAACGAAGTTGCATCCATTGTGACTGTCTATTTACATAGAAAATAAGAGGAAAGGAACTACGATCGAGATGACGCCGAATTGCAAATGCTCTACCATCAATTGTATTCAGAAATAACATAAGATTACGAATTTTGATTATATACATACAACACATTTATATAATATATATGTATAAAAATAATAATAATGTAAATAAAAAAATAATATATAATACTAAATAATACAAATAAAAATATAGATAAAAAGTGGATTCTAAATACAGAATTATTATATCAAAAAATGTATTAATTTAAATTCAATTAAATTTACTGAAAATTAATAGCTTTTAAATATAAGCTCTAATTTTTAGATTATGTACGCGTAGAATCTATTTGACAAACCCAGATTCAAAGTGGTTAGATTCTTCGAGCAGAGTAGAGTACAGCTGAGAGCACTGGACTGAAGATCGGATTGGCGTGGCATGGGTTGGGTATGGGAAATTTCAACCACTTGTCAGTGGCTACCATCAAACCGGGCACTTTGATCAAAGAAAAAAATCACTGAAAATCCATTGAGGCCTATAACGACACCAACACCAGCAAACACCCGAACAACAACCAACAACAGCAACATCAACAAACAGCAATAGGGGCACACTTGGAGTTGGAGTCGCTTCGCTTCTCGGTTGTGTGAAAGCAAAATAAAGATACGTCGCGGCCAAGTGTTGCCTGTTGCCAGTTGCCAGTTGCCAGTTGCGAGTTGTGCCTGTGGACTGGGGACCTGGGACTGGCAGACTGAAGTTGTTTAGCTGTTTCAAGTTGCCGACAGCTGCGCTGCTGGCGTTGCTGCCTGCCGGCTGGCTCTGCTGCTGCTGCTGCTGCTGCTGCCACAGCAAACTTCAACTTCAAAAAAAAAAAAAAAACAAAACGAAAAAGTGTCGAACGGACGACTGCGAGTCCGCCACATCGGCAGCATCATCGTCATATCGGCCTCGGCTATTTTCTGCTTAACCAAAAACTCCCCGTGTTTGTTGTTGTTGTTAGTGTTTAGTATTGTTGTTGTTGTTGTTGTCTGTTGGCACTGGCAACTGGCAACTGGCAACTTGTGTGGTTACGCGCTCTGCGCGCTTGAAAGGTGTTTGAGTTTGAGTTCTTTAGATCTCTCCAGTCATCAGCGCATCGACTTCGAGATCCGAATCATGGCGATCTCATCATCATCGTTCGCCAGCGAACTTCAATTGTTTTTACTCAATGTTTTTGTTGTTGTTGTTGTTTTTTACAAGCACGTCTATCATTTATGCTCTTCTTTTGGCGGCCCTGCGTTCAGTTGTTGTTGTTGCTATTCATATTTTGGTTGTGTGAGTGTGTGTGTGTGTGTGTGTGTGTGTGTGTGTGTGTGTGTGTCTGCTCTATTTGTTTTTAAAGATTTTGTAGCTATTAAGTTGTCATAATCTCTTGGCTCGCATCGAGATCGAGTGATTGCCGCAGGCCCACAAAACTCCATAGAAATAAAGAGAGAGAGAGAGAGAAAGACGGATAAAGAGAAAGGGAGAGCAAGAGACAGTGACAGGGTTGTGGGACAGAGACAAGGGCATTGCCACCAGGTGGGCATTGCGCGATCCAGGTGGGCAAATTGGGGCATCAAAGCTGCCCAAGTGCCTTCAAAATATGTGGGAAATGTGCTCCAATCGAAGTGGAGAACCACAGGTAGAGTTTAATAGACCATCTAAGATCTTTTATGATTAAGATTTTATGGAAATATCAGTCTGCTGGAAGCGGCAGGACACGTCAGGGTCTTAAATAACGTAAAGAACAACTCTTGAAATATTAGTATTTGAACAGATCTGTAAAATAGATTATTTAAATGGGTATCGAAAATGAATTAAGTAAGTAATACATAAATAATTAAGTAGCCACTTTTTCAGTTCAATTATAATTAACTAGTCACTATTTAATACGGCAACTCTATGACTCTATAAGTTGGACTAGTCACCACAACAAAAAAAAAAGAACAATAACTGATAAGCGATGAAATGTGTGCAATAGGCACTTTTGAAAAGTTTTAAGGGTTTGGCTATACCCCATATCAGTACTTTGTCATCGATGAATAACTTGAATGCGAAGCGGGAAGGAGGTCTAGCTCATTTTGAAGTTGCCGATTTTTCGCAATGATTTCTTTGGCCCGCCATTTAGCTGAGTCAGCTGCTGCTGAGCAATGTAAAATACCACATTAATTGCTAAAAATAACACAAATTCCTTGGAAGAACCACACACACACAAACAAAGAGAGAGAGAGAGAGAGAGAGAGAGAGGGGAGAGAGAGAGAGAGTTTGGCGGTCAAGACTGACACAAATCGATAGACTGGCCGCACATTAATCACAGAACTGAGCCGTATTTCGCGGTAGCTGCGTTTTGGAGCCCTATAAAACGCCTCGACTGCCGCTATTTACCCAGCCCCGAAGCATAAACTTGCACTACACTTCAACTTAAATTGCGCAAAGTTCACGAGCAAAGCAAATTTCACGCGAATGTGCAATGTGAAGAGCGTAAAAAAAGAAAAACAACAACAAACTGCGAACGAAAAACAATTGAGCTATTAAAAAGTCATAAATCTGAAATGGAAAAACATAAATCAGCGCCAAAGGCGCGCACACAAAAACAATTTAAACGCCGCCGCCCAGTGGCTGACACATATGTATATATTTCTAGATACATATATGAAGCAGGCAGGAAGAGCTAGAAGTGGCGTAGGGGAGAGGCACCCATATGCGAACCTGTGGGCAAACTATTTCCCTCCAGCGACGCATGCTCCACGGCTGCACCCACATTATACGCTGCCCGTAATTATTAATTTTCCAGCTAAATTAAATTTTAACGCTGCTGCTGCTGCTGCTGCGCCAAACGGCATTCAAAATGAAAACGAAAATTGCATCGATTGAGAAAATTGCTAAAAAAAAAATAAATTAAGTGGGTGTTTGTGCACTAGTGTGTGTAGCACCACACTCGAGTAGCACCACACTCGAGTAGCACCACACTCGAGTGTTTGGGTTTGAGTGTGTGTGCAGCCAGAATTTTATTGAGCGCCGCCGCCGCCGCTTCGCGTAGAACAATAAACAAACCAATTGCCAACTGTCTGCCAGTATGTGTGTTTTTGTAGGGAATGCATCTGTCTATAGAGTCTTTCGGCCATAGCTACCGATGCACCACATTGCGTATACGCCTCATCGACTGCACTGAAAATAAATTTAGTTCAACTACCCAAGCATTTAGATACGCTGTGTTTTCTTTTATATTCTATACAAATAAACGCAATTTTCCGCTTCTTTGCTGCCAGCATAAATAAATCCAACTATTTTTTATGAACTTTCCTGCCGAATGATGCGCGTAAATACTGTGTAAATTTCTAGGCGCCACACAGCAGATAACTATGCAGAAAACTTTAAGGTTTTAATCTTTGAATTATTATTAAATACATGTATTAAAAAGGGTATGCTGCTTATCGACACACAGAAATATCAATAGGAATCAGTTGAATAATTAACCATAAACTTATTTTAATAAAGCTTAAGTCATTTATGCAATTTCATACACAAGTAAATATTTCAAATAAATTGTAAGCATTTTAATTATTCTTCTTTCTTTTTCTAGGGCCGAGGGCACAAATATCTTACTCGATCCAAATCTAATGTGCAAAAAAACGCGTCGTCTACGTGGAAAACTGGCCGAAATCTGCAGACATGATTCGGCGCTGCTCAAAGAGATCATCAATGGGATTAATCTGGGCTTCCGCGAATGCGAATTTCAATTTCGTAATCGCCGCTGGAACTGCACCGTGCTGCGCAAGAGCATGAGGAAAATTTTAATGCGGGGTAAGTGGGTAGCTAGCAAGCTAAATGCATCCGTTGGATACAAATACATATTGTAGCACTTAGATGCATGCATGCAATGGAACGACACAAAGGCCAAACGGCGCAGCTTTATTATGCAGCACAAACTGGCAGCCTGTCAACACTTGCTGACTCAGACCTAATGGTCGGAGGGGGAGCAGCGACATTGGGAAGTAAAGACTGCCCCGCAATGCTGCCTAATTACAGCTGAAGTCAGCGTGAAGGCAGCGTCTTCGAGGCTGGCAAACTGTCAGGCGGCAGGCGACCGCATCATCCATCAAGTTGCATAATAAAAATGTTGCGCCCGCTGATGAATAGCGCCTGAAATGAGCCTACAAAGCTGTCAATTTTAATAAATTATTGCCCGAAATGGTCAAAAGGCACTCGTGTGCATATAAGTATATGCCCTGCTCCTTGCTGCCGCTGCAGCACTTAATGACAACAATGCGCAAACAAAACACATACCAAATTATCTGTAATAAATTCCACGCCAGCGGATTAAAACTGCGCTCCCTGTCAACCTGTCAGCTATCGAGAAAGGAGCCTCTTTTCACTCCAAGGCTGCTGCTGCTGCTGCTGCTGCTGGCCATGTAGTGTCGTTCAGTCCATTCCATTCCATTTGGGGTGGTGACTGTCCAAAAAGACATATCACCTGTCCACACCGCTTCCATCCAGTCCATTTCACTGCAGCTACAACTCAACTCCACTCGACTCGTATTTTCGCATTACAAGCATATGCAAATTGTGGTGCGATTACAACTGCGATTTCGATTTCATTAAACGTGACTGCAATGCGATGCAGTCGATGACAGGGCAACTCGAGTGACTCTGATTTGCATAGAGATCGCACAGAGTAATCAGCGATCGGCTATCGAAGCAGTAATAAATCATTTTGTCACCAAAACTGACAAATTGACATCAATCATGCGACGACGCATGTTGACAACCCTACTCAGCATTAGCACCATGTGAAAATAAGCGATTAATTATCGATGCCGCCATCGAAAAGATAATCGTTACTTCAAACAGCACTTGTGTGATAAGTCAAATGTCATTTAATGCTATAGTTTTGTAAGTCAAACACGAACCGACTCTAGATTATACATATATATATATATATTATAAACAACAGATTAAAAAATATATCTGTTCCGATAAAGATCAACTATGTTTTGATATGACCACTCCTTTTATTTATGATATTTTCATATCAAATTCTTTAAATTATAAAATTTACGAGATCCTCCCTCTCTGTGTGCCCATGATAAATATTAAAGACCCGTTAAATTGCAATTTATTTTATAATATATAATAATTTGCTTCCACATCTCCCCTTCTGCACAGACTCCCGGGAGACGGCCTTTGTGAATGCCATCACAGCGGCGGGCGTTACTTATGCGGTGACCAAGGCCTGCACCATGGGTCAACTGGTGGAATGCTCTTGCGACAAGTCGCACATGCGACGCAATGGCGGACAGCCCCAAATGGTGAATGCAGCCACCGCGCAGGCAGCGCTAGAGCGTCAGCAGCAGGCAGCGCTGCTGCGCCAACAGTCGCCACAGCAGCAACGCAACAACAGCAACAGCATGACGGATATTTCAGTTGGCAGGCAGCACAACAATCACCGGGCAGGTGGGAGGCGAGGACGACGCAAGTTCTGGGACAACATTAAGTTTCCGCAGGGCGAATGGGAGTGGGGCGGCTGCAGTGACAATGTAAACTTCGGGCTGCGACATTCGCGCGCCTTTCTAGATGCCAAGCAGCGACAGCGACGCAGCGATCTGGGCACACTGGTCAAGCTCCACAACAACAATGCTGGACGACTGGTAAGAGAACAAGAAGAAGATCAAACTGGATTCAATAATGTTTAAGAAGTCGTACAGATTTTTGATTTCTTTATAATTATTAGGAATAGTATGATCTGTGCTTAGAGCACAAAAGTTAATAAATTTGATGAGAAAGATAACTTATAAGTAGGAGAAATTGATTAGGAAAATAATCGAGTACCAAATCGTTCATTAAACATATTTTCTTCACACAAGCCTGACGCTCCTAGGAAAAGCCACCACACAGATGCATATTTCTCAATTTGCCATATCTACAAAATGATTTTGTTTTCCTTACACATTTTCAGGCGATACGCGATGCGATGCGTTTGGAGTGCAAATGCCATGGATTGTCCGGGTCGTGCACGGTGAAAACCTGCTGGTTGAAGATGCCGCCGTTTCGTGAGATATCAGCGAAATTGCGCGATAGATACGATGGGGCACGCAAGGTGGCGCTACGCAACGATGGCAACAGTTTCATGCCAGAGACGCCGCACACGAAGCCGCCAAATAAATACCAGTTGGTCTACGCAGATGATTCCGCAGACTTTTGCTCAGCGAATGCAAAGACCGGAGCGCTGGGCACCCAGGACAGGGAATGCAATGCCACATCGATGGGGGCAGACAGCTGTGATCTGTTGTGCTGCAGTCGGGGGCACAAGCATCGTGTGGTTAAGGAGTGGACCAACTGTAACTGCGTCTTCAAATGGTGCTGTGAGGTGACGTGCGAGAAGTGCCTGGAGCATCGTGAGGTCAACACCTGTCTTTAGATAGGGGGCTGGACTAAACTTCGCTTCACGGGGGGGTGCTTGGGGTGTTTGGGGTTTCGATTTCGGCATAGTCATGAACATATTTGAAAGCTTTCCATTTCGCGTGATAAACAACAGTTTGAAACACACAACGTTTTGCTGCAGTCCACATTTAAGTATTAACTAACACTAGAGAGTAACAAACAGTAAACGAGATGATTTTAGCCAGGCTTTAGGCCGTTCTAGCTGTAAATACTACTACTAAAGTATCAACCATTATACGAACCATTTAAGCTTGTAAATAGTCGTAATAAAAACACAAAAAGGAACAAAAATTAAGTCTTTGGATTACTTCAATTAGAGATGGGCGCAGGAACCCCCATAAAATATGTATATTCATGAAAGGAATTAAACTATTAATAAGGCTTTTCATTTTTGATTAAAATAAATGAATATGTAAACAAAATGGATCGTAAGAGATTATCTACTTCAAATTATCTCGACTTTTAGCAGACAGACCAGTCAGTATAGTAGCTTTCAATTAATTGCAACAAATTGAATATCAAAGCAGTTAAATTGAAACAATCGTTGACTTTATGCTAAACGGAAATGTATCTCAAATCGCTTCGCCTATTGATTGAAATCTGCATAAATGATTAAACGTAATTTAATGAAGACAACAGAAAAAACCGATTGAAAAACAAGTTCAACATCTGTCGCTGCGAAAGCTATACTTGTATATGTATCTGCATCTGTATCTGTATGTGTATCGGTAGCCATTCACGAGTATTGTCAACTATCAGTAGCGCGTATCTGTATCTGCTAGCTACGGATTCGCTGTATCCAGTGACTTTCCCATAAATTAAAACAATTTTATTGTTGTCGACACGAGATACAAATCTACAAAAATTTGCCTAAACAGCAACAAACAAAAATCGCGTTCGAACAAAACAGAAAATTGATTTGCCTTCATGCATAAATTATCGTGCGATTGTTGATCAATGATTTGAATGTATAAATTAAAAAATCAAATAGATGTCGCCAAATGCATTCAATTAAAAATATCATACAATGATTTTATATAAAAAAAAACCCAACAGAAGCCACCGAATTGTTTAAATTGCCTTAAAGCTAAATAGCTTTTATCGAAAGCTAATAAATTAAACGGAATATGATGAAGTTTGATATCATTTGCACTTCTTCATTTTTCAGACTTTAATATCTGTAACACAATGATATTAAAAATACAAAGTAAGACTTCGTTCAATTAATGCAAGCCCAGAAAAAATTCCTAATAATATTTATTCACCTATTTAAAATATACATAAATAATTATATAAGACAATCTTTAGACAGGTGCGTTCCAACTCATGAGGAGTAGTACATTTTATTTAACAGACGACACTTTATTACCAATGGTTTAATTATAGTTTTTAGTCTAATAATTCACATCTCCAAATCTTGGCACACTGAACAAATTTTTTGATTATTCTATTAAATATACCATTTCCACCCAACCATAACTCTATCAAAACTTGACCGATTTTGATATACACCAATTTAAGTTTTCTGTTCAATATGAAGGTTCATATATATGGAAAGTATGGGACACAGATACATCCACACACCGAGCCCAGACTATTTCCAATGGATAATCTCAGCTTAGCATCCTCAGAAATCTCGGCTTAAGTTTGATATTCGAACAACGCAATGAGATGCCCCAAGCAGATGCTCAGCATACCCGAATTCCATTCCATTTGCCTACTGCTGACTACTGACTGGGCCAGGTCAATCTCAGAGAAAACAAGCCCATGCCAGCGATAAGATACAACAACAACAACAACAACAAAAACAACAACAAACAAGCAACAGCAGCAGCAGCATTTTCAGTTCTATAGCAACAACTAATTAACAATCGCATTCATTTTATTTATCGTACAAATGCAAACCGCTTGACTTCCAAAACTGTATCTGTATGCATTTATAAGGCTCGGTTGGGATCTGTTCCGAGTTTAGCATCTCTCTTTCTCTCTCTCTCTCCCTCTCACTCTCACTCTCTCCCTCTCTCTCTCTCTCTCTCTCGCTTCATGTGCTTTGGTCGAACAGATCGACACAACGTCGATCGCATCGCATCGCATCGCATTGCAAGGCAGCGTCGCGTTCTACACTTGACTGAACAAAATGTATGGTGAGATACTCGTCGCTGGGGGAACGCTCCGAGATACAGATTCAGTGGCTTTATCTTGGGCGCGTTAATGAGATTTGCTTGTATCTGGAGCCATTCGGTAGATGCATATCAGTGGGTTTCAATTAATTGTGGTGACGCTTATTAGTCATCCATCTAACAAACTAAACTGATGCTGCTTGCTGGCGCTGGCGCTCTGAAGATCTCACTATCTCTCTATATATGTATGTATAAATATATATAAGTAACGCGGTTTCATTGACCCCAAACTGACCTTGGCCAGTTGGTAACTTCTCTCTATATCTATCTCTATCTCTGTCTCTTTCTTTCTGTCTCTCTTTCTTTTCCTCCATCTCTTTGTTTGCTTTTTCAGCTGTCTTATAGATGCGCAATATATGTTAATAAAAAATGCATTTTAATGCCGTTTCTAGATCAAAGTTCTTTTTGGCGGCGTTTTGTTTCAAGTGGCGCCTAAAATGGCGCCAGATATATGCACAAAACTTTTTCAAAACTAATGGCTTAATTTTTAAACTGTTACACCTACTGCATTGAATCGAAGGGCTACCTATCCCAGATATCAGACACTGCTGATCACTGCAAACAATTTTAGCCAAATTACATTCAATGTCCGCACAGAGACTGTGAGCGGGTGAGTGAGTGAGAGAGCAAGCGAGTGATATAAGGAGAGACAAACAGAGAGAGAGAGAGGGAGAGAGAGGAACAGTCAGGGCGCTAAAAGAACAACTATTAAGACCGCTCGAGCGACGTCTCCGGGTCTCGGGGCCGCGAACAAAACCTGAAACATGAAATTCCTGCGTAATTTGTAAGGAAAGGCGTGAAGAACACCAACGAAGGCAACACCTTAATTAATGTTATTAAAATGGAACGAACGACCGACGGACCAGCGATTGGACCTGCACCTCAAACTCAAACTCATACTCAAAAGCAAACTAAAACCGAGCCTCAGACTGAAAACCCATTGGACTGCAGGTCCAGAAGCAAAAAAAAAAAAAAAAGAAGAAGGCAGACATACACAAACACACACACACACACACTTGGACTCACAGACACGAGAGTGGCTAAGAAGAATGTGGCAAAAAGGAAAAAGGTTTTGGACCGGGTCCGCTTGATCGATTTTTTTTTTTTGTTTTTTGGGTTGGTTTCTTGCGCTCACTCCTCTCCATCGCTTTGGCCATGCACGTTCCGGTCGGTTCCCGAGCAGAGTGGGAATGGGAATGGGAATGGTTGATTGCGAAATGACCTGTTGTCTCTATTTAGGGCTTGGTGCGGACTAAACGTTTGGTAAAACATATTGGAAAGTGGCCAAAAGTGTTGCACTTCTGCCTGGTCAATCGAGAGCAGCTTAAATATTCTTAGTTAATAAACAAATAATTTGAAACTATAATAAATTGTTAAATAGTTCAAATAATTCAATTATATTTTCTTGAACGTTCGCAAAAATATTACAAACAACACTTGTTGATATTAGAAGAACTCTCAGAGACTATACTATATAGAGATCAATATGTGTTTCCGAAATGAAACTGAATTGCTTGCTTTGGACACGTTCCTTACAATTATCTTAGACATTTGCAACATATGAAATATCATTCAATCTAATCAGATAATAGGGTATCTACCAGAGAAGCACACTCAGACAGAGAATTTTTGGGCTTACACTCAAAAAAAAGTTTTCACATTTTCACAATGCAAACACAATGTGGTATTTATTCTAAAGCATATAGAATAGTGTCTACATCAGACACGCTTGAAGAGGAGGCTTCATCGGCCAGAGCTGCTGCACAGCTGATGTTGGCTGTTTGATGTTGCTTCCCAGCATTCTAAGCCGCCAACAGATTTATCACTGGGCACTGAGCGTTGAGCGCTGACTACATGACATATTCATTAAATTTGCCACATTATTGCAGTAACAGACAGAGCAGACAACAAAGAGCAGCCTGGATGGAGATGGTCATCTTTTTGACACCTTAATGCGGTAATTAGGGTTTTCTCAGCATTAAGTCAGACAGCGGTAACACCCGGGCCATGCCCTCGGCCCCGTCATCGGACCATCCTTAAAAGGCGATCATCATGAGCAAATATTAACACTGCGCAAAGACCAAAAGGCGATAGCATCTGAGGAAACTGACTTTACAGCATAGGAGCAGTGTGCAATGGGCAAATGGTCAACGCCTGTGTGTTGTGGCCGTTAACGGTTTATGCCAAATTGGCTTAAATTATTAAAAGATTACAGCCAAAGATCATTAACGCCAACATACATGGCGATCTCGCAGCCATGAGAGATCCTTGCGATTTGGGTGTGAAGATTATGACACAGCACAAAATAAAACACCAGCCCGACATGCGGCAAGGGCGTCAAAGGCAGGGTCAGATCCAGGTCTCGCTACGTCGCAGGGACGGGGTATGCCAGGGAAGAGGCACAGCTTCGAAGAGCAGCAGGCGCTGCAATTAATTTCAAATTTTTTAACATCTCACGAATGAAGGAACAAACGCAGCCATAGCAGACAGCTGGGCAAGCAAAAGATCCAAACAGGGAGACAGAGACAGAACAATGAAAGAGAAAGAGAGAGAGACACTGAGAGAGGGAGAAGGGGGATTTTAAGAAAAATTGCAGACAAATTAAGATAAATGAATTGTTTAATTGTTGCATGTGGCGTTCACTTTTATTATGGAACTGATAATTTATCTTGTAAAGTAACTGCGAAAATGCTTATATAATTTCACTTATATATGTATACATATGTGAATACAATAATTTGTTTACACATATTGCATATTTCATAAAAAATGTACAATCAATAAAAGCAGCATAAACATCAACAATTTAATATTATTAACATAAGTAGGCGGAGGAGGAGTCTCGACAAATTGCGGGCTTAAGGAAAAAGTATTTTAGCCAAGTGTTTTAAAGTGAACTTCTTCAATTGATTAAAAATAATATTCAGTGTATTGAAATTTTGGGGCAAGCATCTAAAATAAGAGTATCAACAAAATAAATATATCAATGGGGGCCCATTAGCTAGGCGCTCGACATCCCATTGAATGGAAGACTTACAATTAATTTGAGCGCAGCTTGAAGTGCTATTAGACGCGCATTAACACCCGCTTGTATACATTGTATACATACATGGTTGCCGGTCTCATCAATCAACGTCCTGATGTCCAAATAATGCAACACAAACACAAAAGGCCACTGTCTATCTGTCTGTCTGTTAGCCTACCACAAA